AGAGGTGGTGAGCTGGGATTACTTACAGAAGATTAATGTAGGTTTCTCACAGGGGCTGGCATCTGTATTTTAACTCCCTATATTATGCAGTTGAGCTGCTGCATTGCTTCCAAAAAATTACAGCTATATCCCTTCCTTTGCCTCCCTTGACATTGGTGGCAATCCCAGGATCACAGCAGCTAAATGCTGGCTGGCTGAGCACTGCTTTGACAGCTTGCTGGGGAGGCAAAGGCTGGGAACTAATTGAGATTACATGGAGCAGAGCACCATGGCCCATGCAACGGTGCAGCAAGCCATGTCGCAAAGCAGCACAGACACTGGCGAGAACAGGTTGCAGCTTTCCCTGACGCCTTTGGAGAGCAGCTCTTCCCATTGCTTCCCAGACACACTTGCCACTGGTGGTGGCTCCGAGCCTTGTTGTGCCTGGTCTGTGGAGCCATTTCCATAGTAACAAATGGTGATACAGGCGGTGGGATTGCATCCGTGAGTGAAAGGTACAAAAGAAGCCTCATAAAAATGCCTCAGACGTGTCACTGGAAAGCAGCACAGCAGGCACCAGGAAAAGAAAAGGCCACAGAAGGGCCGTGCTGAGATAAGTCCCATTACCTGCCGAGTCGTTTGCCCTCACAGAGCAGCATTTCTCCCCTAGTTGCCCATCCAGCTGCCCCAGGTGAGCTCACCGGGAAGCACCACTCTCTACCCAGGCTGCCTTCTTGCTTCTGCACCCCAAAAAAGCCGCGACTCCATTTGTTACCCATTTTCCTTAAACCCACATGATTTGGGAGATGCAAAGTTTGTTGGGAGATGTAATACAGATCCACGGAGGGAGCTGGAAAACTTGGACAAGCTCTCTTCACAACAGCCCTTCTGGTTTTTATCACCTTCATCTCCATCCGCAGTTCACAGGTTTCTTTGCTCAGTTTCTTTGCACGGAAAAGCTGCAGTAGCAGCTGTGTTCGGCTTGTAGCTGCCTCTGTCCTGAGACAAACCCAGGGCAAACGTCAGACCAGCAGGAGATCCAACAACCGTGATGGTGGGTGAGCCAGAGAGCAGGCTGGGATTTCTCTTCACCCACCTGAAGGCTGTGCGGCTGAGGGTTCGCCAGGCTAGTGTAAAACCCTGGTGCAATCCAGCAAGCCGAGCCAGCCACCTTCACCCTCCTGGTCTCGGTGCTGCGGGAGGTCTGGGGGACAAGCACCAGGTCCCAGGCCTGCCAGCCCATGTGCTCCTGGTGCGGACTGGAGACCTGCAGCAGAGGCGTGGGTGGGATGCCTGTCGGCTGACTGTAATACACGCTGTAGGGCTGTAGTTCTGCAGGGAGAAAGACTCTTGCAGAGGATGAAGTCTTTGCAGGGGAGAAAATTCAGAAAGTGTTTCCCACCCCCCCTTTTTGCACATTTTTAAACATTTTTACTCCTTCCACAGAGGTTATTGAACCTTCAGTTTAACAAAGGAAATGAGCCACCATTAAATAGCTTTCTGAGGTGTCTGAAAGCAGGCACTACTTGCATGCAGAGCTAGTCTGTCCTAACGTGCGACTTCCAGACCTCAATGTACATCCTGTAGCTGAGTCACCCTGTGCGCTGTGTGGGTTCTGAAGTGGGACAGTCAGTGCTGGCCATCATGCCAAACACCCATGGCTTCCCAAACTGAAGAATAATCAGACCAGGAAGTGGGGGAAGGAGCAGCGATGGTAGAAGGATAGCTAGTTATCACAAGTAATCTTCGGTATCCATGTCCAGTGGTTAGTCCTAGAATTGAAAGCCATGTTATATTGCACATGTCCTCCTTCCACTCCTCTTTTCTCAAAGCAGCTGTCGCCTTTCCTCCCCCCGCCCCATGCACTAGTGATGAGCATCAGAGGCAGTTGCACCAAAGTGACTCTCAGCCCAGTTCTGCATCCCCCTCTCCCACCCGAACCCAAGGCAGCCCGGACAGTTATTGGCCATCACAAGTCTAGTAACTCTGCTTGGGTTTCTCTCCTCGTGTACCATAGCTTCCACCACAGGCACTCTAGCAGTGCAGTATGGGAGGCTCTGACCATGTCCCAAGAAGCTTCTTTGCCCCCTGACAGCACCTTGCAGACATGCACCTTACTGGGAAGGTACTGGGTTGATGCTGGTGAGATCTGGCGCTGCCAGTCTTGCGTAGGTGGCAGCTGATGGGGATCTACTGGGGGAAGCTGGCAGAAAGTGGCTACTGTCCCTTTTCTTTTCTTTTTTGAGGGAGAGGGGGATTTTTTTGGCATTATGATTATTGTCCACCTTCCAGTGGCCAAGTTCTGGGCTGCATTAATAATTGGGGTTCATTGGCTATCTGGACAGATATGGAGCTTCGCACCAACCTCAGTAGCAAACGTTGTGGCTGTATACAGAGCCTGGACACAGGCTGGGTTTCTCCTATGCTGGCAAAGTGCTGTCAGCAGGCTCCAGATAGACATTTCTGGCAGACAGGGAAACAGCACTCTGCCGAGTCCAGATCAGATCCACACTCCCATTTCGTATCCTCAGCTTGGAAAAAACTCAATCCAAGCAAATGTTTCCCAGGTCTCCTTTCCCCGTGCGGTGCCTGGCGCCCCAGGGGAGGGAGCAGCAGGAGGCATTTCAGGATCACGAAAAGCAAGATCCTTTTGGTACTTAATGGAAATATCTTTCAGGAGGAGAGACCTCCCGACCTTTGCGTTAATCTCAAGAGCAGGAGATGAATTTCCGGCTGTCCTTGCATATAGTGAAACTTAGCTGAAACAGCCAAATGCAAAGTAGAGTTAAATGTAGGGTTTGACCTGAATAACCTTTTAATTAGGAAGAAAAATTTGTTGTAGCTTGACCTTAGTCCATGTTAGGAACCTGCTAATCGTTTGACATGCAGAGTGTATTAATGCTGCACTTAACTTGGCCATTGGTTTTATTATCTGGGTTTGGGAGTTTTTTCACTCCCGAAGCATCAATCTGCATCTTGTATGGGTTTTCTTTTCTTTCTTTTTTTCCCGTTCAAAACATGTAGCACACTGTTGTACTTCTGTTCCCGTCTGCGTAGAGTATTGCCTTAAACAGATCAGTTGTGTTGTGGTTTGTTTTGGGTTTTCTTTTTTCTACCATCAGTTTTATGCATTAATTTATTTAAAAATGTGGGGGTTTTTTTCAAAAACATGAAACATGTATAATATTTTTTTTAACATTTCCATTGCAGTATTTATCATTGTTACTGGTTGTGTGTAGTGTAACAGAATTAATGATATTAAAAAGCATACATATGAAAACCAGCCTGCCAGCCTTTCTCATAGAAGCGAACCGGGGTGAGAGGGTACAAACTGCACCATCTCCTCTGAGCCCCCAGCAATCACGGATGCTGAAATCAGGGGGTGCCAGCCTTCACGCCAGGACCAATACCAGTGTGCTTGGGCCCAGCAGAAGTGGCTGGTGTGGAGCTGTGCTGTATGGCACAGGTAAAGCCGCGGGGGCCGGCCAGCCCCTAGCCAGCATTTGGGAAACGCTTCTCCCCAAGGCAGCAGGAAGGCACAGGGGCTGGACCCAGCCTCTGCATCTGGGCTGCAACAGAAGCAGAAAGAAGTGCTGCATCTGTACGACACTGATGGGTGAAATAACGTTTTCTCCAGCATTGCAGCTGCTTCTGCCCCTCGAAGCTGTTGGCACGAGAGCCGAGCACTGATTTTGAAGTCCAACGCCAGCAGCTGGAAACCCCAGGGACCATGGGGGACAGCTGTGGGGGGGCCAGTGGCTCATGCTGGCAGCCGGTCTGGTGCAGAATAAGTATCTCCCCAGCTAAGAGGCTTGGGCTCCACCTCTCTGCGGTGCTCCCCAGATCTGTGCCCTGGGGTGCTCTAAGGCCACGGAGCTGGGCGCAGGCACCCCTGTGTCCACCTTTCCATCCCAGCCTGCCCCTGGCTCCCAGGAGGGGACAGGGCTGATTGAGAGCCTAAGCCTGGCTCAACAGGGACCAGCAGGGTTGAAAATCAACGGCAGCTTGTTTTCTTCATTTCACCTCTATCGGCACATTAATCCCGTTTGACTGGAGGCATTTGGGTGCCCCAGGCTGCCCAGCCCCACCATCCCCTGCAGCAAACCGAGCAGGGCTCGGCAGCCCTTTGGGGGGCACGTTGGCATCCACCCTGCCAGAATGGACATGGGTCTTCACCGGTCATCTCCAAAAACATGGCAACAGAGGGGCCAGAGCCAGGAGCACAGCAGGGCTCTGAGTTGGCACTGTGTGACAAGCCAGGCCAGAGCGGGGTTTCTGCAGGGGCAGGGATTTCTGCTTGACTCCCCAGCAAATCCCTCCCTGGCATAACCCAGCTGCCTCTCTGCACTCAGATTGATGAGGATCGCTCACTCTGACTGCAGAGCCCATCACTCAGGACAGAATAGCAAACAAGCCCCACAGGATCACCTAAATCCAGCTTTTTAATTAAAAAGGGGAGACAGAGCAGGCGATAATTCCCCTGGCCACCCCAGGAGGCTGGGACAGCGGTGTGGTGACATTGCGGTGGCGGACGTTGGCTGCACTGGTGTGGTGCTGTCTGCACCCATCTGGGTTTCTCTAGGATTTCCAAGAAAACATGGAAGAGAGGGGCTGGAAAAGCCACAATCACTGCTCCTGCACCTCCCAAAATAAAATTATCTTGACTAGGACCAGCTGAAACTGTTTCCTACCATTGTTAAGGTAATTGCCTGCAGGAGGGGAGGAAGCCCAGAGCCAGGACAAGCCCAGGAGGAATGCAGGCAGCAATTGTTGTGCCCTAGGCTAGAACCAGAGTGTAGCTATGGGACCGTCAGAAAGCCACCAAATCCCCCTGCTCTGACACTATGACATCACTGATAACATAAGCACCACCCTGGGCTGGCAGAGCAGTGGCGCCGGCCCCATTCCCTTTCCTGCATGGGCTGCAAGCCCCCAACCCCACGCAGTGGTGCTCATCCAGTGAGGCATCTCCGGGACACTCTGGGACTCCAAGCGTTCCTGTCCCGGCAGGCTGCTGCACCATGTTCTTCTTGTCCAAAAAACACAAGACCCCCATCAGCACTTACACCGACTCCTACCGCCCGCCATGCTCTGTCAAAAAGACCATCAAAGAGCGAGCTCCACAGCAGCTCTGGAAAGAAAACAAGTTTGTGACGCAGGTAAATGCTGCGGGAGGAGGAAACCTCAAGTTTTCTACCCCTACCCAGCTGCGGATTCTCGGTGCTGGGCAGAGGGGTGGCACGGGGACTCACTCGCTGCCTGTGTGTAATGGTGGGGGGGCCATGCTCCCTGGTTAGCAAAGTGTTTGCTACCCCATGGCCTGTGCTCGCTGGCTTCTTGTCCCCTGCACCCCGCAGTGGCTTTGGGCTCTCAGGGCTGGCAGTCACCAGCACAAGCTCTCACACGTCAGCCCTGTCCATCAGTAGGTTTCATAGTGCGCAGGGGGCAGGATCTGTTGAGGAAGGGGAAACTGAGGCAGTGCAGGGCTCAGCCCAGGACTGCTGTGTGACACGGTGGCAATGGGGGGGGGCAGACTGGGTGGCTCTGAGAGCTGCTCCAACACACAGCCCCCAGGCTCAGCTCAGTTCCAGCTGGGGGGCTTTCCATACCAGGGGGGAGCATGCGAAGGGCCGGGGGCAGATCTGAGCACTGAAAAACCGTTCCAGCCCTGGTCCTGGAGGACGAGGGATGCCTGAGCCGTGGCCTCACTGCAGGGGATGTCTGTGGGACATGCAGCTTTCCCCACTCAGGCTAACAAGCCTGCAGGCTCCAATGCAAAACACGCTGCAAACTGGCTCATCTCTTGCGGCCTCATTAGCATGTGCATTATAATGAGGGAGCCAGCAGAGGGCACAGAGAGGGATGTCACCACTAGGCAGGGACAGGCTCATGCAACCAGGGCACCCGTCTGCCCTGCAAGACCCCAGCCCTCTTGGGCTTCACCAGCTGTAGGACATTGGTTCGGTCCTTCCAAACCTCTGCTGACCCCATACCTGGCAGTCCCAGTGCACCCACCCTATCTCCCACTCTGCAAAGTGCCATAGGCCCCTGGGTGCAGGGGGAGAGGAGCCAGTGGCACTCAGCCATCCTCCATACCCTGGTTTCGGGTGAGCAGGAAGCTTGTGGGGGAATCACAGTGCTGCTATGACCCCCATGCCCACCCACTGCGAACGGAGGCTTGGTGCTCGGATCTCTAGCGTTAGACCCTGCCTGGTAATTGGCTTCACCGTGTGCCCCAACGGCCGCGAAAGCAGACACTGCTGCATGGCCTGGGTGTCTCTCCCCACTCCTCACTGTCTGTAGGGATTAACGATGCCCCCAGTACAAAATCCAGCAAGCCAAGGTCAGACCGAGCAGCTGATTAAGGAGGCAATGCAGGAGTACTACAGGAACACCATCGACCCCGCTGCCTACCGGCCCGAGAAGTACTGGCTGGACAGGTCCGAAGGTATCGCCGAGGTCCCAGATGTCCCCCTGTGTCACACAGGGTACATCCCCATGGGGTCGGGGGGCTGACACCCACAGCGGCTCTGTTCATCCCCCCTTTTGCATCCTGCATCCCCCCCCACAGTGGCGAAGGACCCTCCCTCGGCATCTGCGCTTGTGGCTTTCCTGTGACCAACTGTTCCCATCCCTGCACTGAGACGGTCCCTGTCCCAGGGATGCCTGCAGGTCCCCAAGGTTATCTCCCCTGGTGGCCCCTAAATACCCCCTGGTGGTAGGTGCTGCCTGGGGGACACCCTCCTGGCACCCCATAGCCCCCAGGGACCCAGGCTGCGTGGGCAGGGATGAGTGACCAACGAGCTAGAAGTGGTGGGTGTCGCGTCCATCACAGATCCTTAACAAGGACCCCGTGAGCAGCACCTCTGAGATGCCCCCTGGCCCCGTGGCATTGCGTTTCAGGGAAAAGGGGAACAGTCGGGACTCTCCGGCCATCCCCCCGTGTCCCCGGCACCACAGGACACCCCTGCCTGTTGCTTTTGCATTGCAGAGAAGTACAACCCAGTTTTTGTCCATGAGGACAAATACACCACCTGGAGAACAGGTCCCTACAACAGCGCAGCCTGGAATAAGCACTCCTCTTACCTCCCACTCCTGCCCAAGGTAGAGTCCAGTCCCTCTGGCCCCCCCAAACTGGAACCGCCTCAGGTGCTGCCGGCACTTTGGGCTCTGCAGCGAAAGGGTGGCAATCCTGCAAGGGCTGCCATCGCTCCTTGTAGGAGACAAGGATGGAGACCTTCCTGCACAGCATACCCGTGGCGTGCTCCCCGAAACCCACCCGCCTCAATCAATGCGGTAACTACCCTCACCCTGTCCCTGTACTCCGGCTGTAGCTGTGCCTGTGCCATGCTGGCATCCATCCGGGTTATGGGCTGGCTGCTCCTCCTCTCCCTTACCCTCACCATCCCTCCGCTTGCAGAGAAGTTGGTGGTCGCTGACATGCTGCGCAGGCTGCCCATGTACACCATGACAGGGAGCGGACCCTCCCAGGGCTTCTACAGCCCCTGCTCTGGGCGCCACTACTGCCTGCGAGGGATGGACTACTACATTGACGGGGACCCTGCCATCAGAAGGCATCTCGATGCACCAGGAGAGAGGGCTGTAAGGTTGGGATGGCTTGGGATGGGATGGGATGGGATGGCTTGCGATGGGATGGGATGGCTTGGGATGGGATGGGATGGGATGGGATGGGATGGGATGGGATGGGATGGCTTGGGATGGGATGGGATGGGATGGGATGGCTTGGGATGGGATGGGATGGGATGGGATGGGATGGGATGGGATGGCTTGGGATGGGATGGGATGGGATGGGATGGGATGGGATGGGATGGGATGGAATGGGATGGGATGGACATGACCTCCCTTGTCCTCGGGGCCACCGCTCACCCTACCTCCCTGTCTCTTGCAGGAGTATCCCATGCTGCAGTTACAGCCTCAGAGCGATGTTCTGTACATCTACAGATCGCCCCCAGCCATCCTCCCCGTACAGGAGCCCTAGGTGCAGCGAGGTTCCATGGGGGGAGTGCTCCAAGCCGGTTGCCCTGGGGGAAAAGCCTATTATTTTTTCCTAATGCCAGGCTGCCACTAGCTCTCTTTTCATGAGGATTTCATGCAAAATTACTCAGAGGATTATTCTGGGGACAATGGTGCAGACTGCAGACCCGAAGGGGTACTGGGTCCCATCATGGTGCCCATGCAGGAAGCGATGCAGCTGCTGCACCTCCACATTGCAGGCTAAGTGGACGTGACCAGGGAGGGCAGGACACCATTGCGGTGCTGGGCTGTGGAGCGTGTTGTTGCTACCCGTGGGGAAACAGTTGCCAAATCTACTCCCAGGAGAGGTGTTTCTATGCTTGGTCTCATACAGCGGTCCTTGGGACTGTACAACACCTGAAATCTTTCTGGCACCCCTGAGCCTGGCTGCATGTAGCTTAGCATCTCCCAAATTTTGGGGCCACATCAGTGTTTCTTGTGCTGCTCTTGTATTTTCTGTTGTCATTGTTTGCTCTTCTTATCCAAGAACCTCTTCCCTGGTCACCCTGTTTGTTGTGCAGTAATCAGCCCTGTCCTTCACCTACTGCAGGTCCGGCAGCACCTTTTAATCCCCACATGTTTACCTTTGCTGAGGCAGCTTTTTTCAGCCCTGGAGAAGCAGCGAGGGGAAAAGGGAGGCTGTTCAACCAGCTTACTCATCACTCTGCTACTGCAACAACCGCTTGTGGGCCAAAATCAGGCATCAGACTTTGCAGAAAATGTGCGATTGGCTTTAAATTCCCGAGTCCAGAAACTAAAATCAAACAACAATGAGAACAGGGAGCACCATGTTCCCCACAGATGTCGCTATGCCTGAACCTCAGCGAGATGTTTCTCAAGGTCTTCTCCACTGAGAAACAGGAAAATTTTCCTGGACTGGGAATGAAGATTTTAGGAAAATTAACAGTGCAAGAGAAAGTGGGTGTTTGCAGGGTGGGAGACCCACTGAAAGCAGCTTGCTGAGATGGCAATTCCAGGGAGCTTCAGCTCTTCCGCTTGGGCTTCGCTTTGGCCTCAGTGCTCAAAGACACATACCAAAGTGGATGGGGGCAGTGCTTGCCCCTAAGCAAGGCTGGCAGCTGGGAGCAGGTTTTCTGCTCTTCTTCCTCCCTCATATGGGAGTTTCATCCTCCCATGGCTGATAACTTTATCTGCTCTCCTAGGTGGGACACGAGCCACTTCAGCAAGGCAGGAGGAGTCCAGAGAAGCAGTTACACCATCCACCCTGACTTTAGTTCGGAGGCTTACTCTGCCCCTTGGTGCTGGTGAAGAACAAAGATGGGCTTTCATTAAAACTGGCTTGGGCAACTGTTCCCCTCGGACCCTTTCCTACAGGCTGGGAAAGTCCCTGGGGAGGGGGGAGGAACTTCAGCGACTGCTGGCTTGGTGGGCACTTTAACGGCCCTCAGGGGCTGGTATCCTGTCGCCACCCGCAAGCTGAAGACCAAGAAAGCACGCAAAGAAAAGCTCTCGGAGCATAGTAACACAGCCAGAAATAGAAGCAGTCGTTGATACCCATGTTTGTCAGCTTTGTGCTGGGCTGCTTAGGACGTGCTTGCTTTTTTGCCAAGTTGTCCAGGAAGAGTTGCCATGTATCTGGAGTGCCAGACTCAGGCTAACTGAGGAGGGGGATTTGAAAGCAGCGCATAATTAATGAATGCATGAAATGCCCTTCTCTGACTATTATCTGGGAGCCCAGTGTCAGCAGGGAACATCACGTGGGGCCTTCCACACGTGCTGCAGATCATAAACCCACGGGGCTGTGGTCCCCAAGGGAGGGATGCTCCAGCTGAGAGCCATCAGGGGCTCCACATTCCTG